AGAAAATCCTGTGCAGGCCTGCAGTTCCCCCAGGCCTCTGCACCGCAAACATCAGAGCTTCTAGCCTGCAGTGCCGCCTGTGTTGTCCCCGTGAAGGAGCGTATGAATGGTGGACTCTGTCTCGTGCAGCTGCTCCATCAGTCTGAGTCAGTAGGATCAGGCTGCACTTTGCACTGATCTCCTGTAGAAAACTGTTTCCTTTCTGTCTGCTTTCAGTTTGACACTCTTCATACCCATCAACACTGCTCACATACTCTTTCAACATCACCACAGCTTCACTTCACTCCCATCTATACCAACTTGAATCCACATCCGTTGCTCCTGACCTTGCTTTGGTCTCACACACACAACATATGGCTGTTGTCCTTCTTTCTACCATATCCCAACACTCCTGCCTCTCCGCTCGTCCCTCTTCTCTCGTCTTTCAGCAACACTGACGCTCCAGCACTGGAGCTCATCACTGTAAAACCTGAGCCTGAATACAAACAGACAGAAGGACAGAAATAATAAAGAAACATACGTTGGCATCAATCGCAGCAGTTTCAGAGGTTCTCAAACGCTGAACGTTTGTAGCTTTATATATAAAATCCTGCTTTATTTTTCCATTTCCTGTCCTGCTAAATGGTGAACACCATCAGGTTATTGTGGTCATGATAACATAAAGGCAGCTCTGACACGCCTGATTATCGAGCTTCCTGTGGGAGAGGAAAACGTAAGAGAAACCAAGAATTAGGGGGCGGTTGTGTACAGCGCTGAGCTGGTTTCAGAAAACCGTTAGCCCGACCAGGGGTGTCAAACATAAGGCCCGGGGGCCAGCATTGGCCTGGTGAAGGCTTTTCCTTTTGACAAAGACAATAATTACCTAACAGACAAAGAATTAAAGACAGGAAAGTTCCTGTTTTTCCTCTATAACTGGGTCCACGGGGAATGAACTAAATTGTGTATAATTATATATCTAGAATTAAAGGGCGGTCCGTCCAGTTACCTTTTCTGTAACTTCACACATTTATCGTGTATTTCCACTGGTCAGAGTGGGCTGTGAAAAACTAGCTATAAGTTATAAATTCCCTTAAATAATTAACGAGTGCGTTACATGAACTTTGTGTTAAAATGACACTTCAGTTTTAGGAGCTGTGTTACTTTTAAAAACGTTTCCAGGATTCGTGCAAACAAAGCTCACAGCTCCGTGACTCGTGGTTTTGCACTCAGATCAGTAATCATCTAATCTCACCTGCCAAAATATAACAAAGTACATCACAGCGTGTGAGGCTGACCACATGTGCCACTGTTATAACCTGTTACGTCTGTATGTGATGGTGACGGCTGTAAAAGCGTTTGAACCTGTGACCACAGTGAAACACACAGCTACACACTGTGACATGCCCGTGTTGTAGTAGCTATTTATTTCGGGGTCCATATGTTTCCCCACACTGACTCAATACATACATGATTATTCATTCTTATTTTGCAACGTGACAGGAAATGTCAGAAAAATGTTCTCAAATTCCACAGTGTCCACTGAC